CTCCCATCTTTAGCAAACTTCACATTTGCTAACCTTAAGTCTTTAATCCTTTCATTCCTAATCTTTTCTTCTTCATCAACATCAGATTCAGGTAATACGTTGAAGTTCTGGAAAGGATTATTGTCAGTGATATCCTCTATTTCACTGTCAGAAACTTTGTTGTCCCCTTTCTTAACCCCCTTGTTGTCCCCTTTTCTTTCCCCTTTCTTGTCCTCAACCTCAACCTTTGAGAGTTTGAATTTGACAAGAGGAATCTTTACAACATCTTCAGCAAGTTCTTCCACCAGATCAGAAGGGACACTTGGTTTCAGCTGCTGAACAGCTCTAGGCTTTCTACCTCTCTTCTTTGGCTGGTCTTTTTCCTCATTCGCTTTCCTTCTTGCTTCAGCATCTGCCCTCTTCTTTTCCTCTACTTCTTTTTTCTTCTGGGCATCTGCTTCTCTTCTCTTCAGTGCATCTTCTTTCTTTTTCAGTGCCTCCTCTTTCTTCTTTTGAGCCTCGGCATCTTTCCTCTGCTGTGCTTCTAAATTCCGCGTCACAGGCCGCGTTTTCTTATTAGCAGGAGAGGGAGATTTCTCAATGAAATCAAGAAGATCATCTTTCTTATTAGTGGCCTCATCGAAATCCTTATTTAGATTCTTGATACACTGATTAATGTTACTGTCCAGAACTGCTTCTTCTTCTTCTTCTTCCTGAATTTTTTTCTCCTGTAACTTCATAACACAAAACAACTCAGCCATAACACAAAATAACTCAGCCATAACATAAAACAACGCAGCCATAACACTAAACAACTCTACCATAACAGAGGTATAACTCAGCCATAACACAAAACAACTCTTACATAACAGAGGTATAACTCAGCCATAACATAAAACAACTCAGCCAAAATAGAGATATAACTCAGCCATAACATAAAACAACTCAGCCAAAACAGAGATATAACTCAGCCATAACATACAACAACTCAGTCGTAATGTATCTGATAACCCAGCCATAACATAAACAACTCAGCCGTAATGTATTTGATAACTCAGCCATAACATAAACAACTAATTAAAAAAATCGAATAACTCAGCCATTACATAAAATTAAGAGAACTCAACTTACCGGGGGACTAGTAACAGAGTTGTCTTGGCTTGACGGTTTCTTCTGAATTTCAGGTGTCTGTTCTTTTTTTTTCCCAAAAGCATCCCTGATTCTTATATTGGAGATGCTTTTGAGTGGTAATTTGTCGTCATTCTGAATGTTTTTGCCTCCACTCATGAGACCAGCTAGGCCTCCACCTCTGGCAACGAAGGAAATTAGGCCTTTCATATTGACGAATTCTTCATCAACACGTGTGAACTTATCATCAAAGGTCTCAACCTTTGATTTCATGGTCTCAATACTTGATTTCATTTCTGAAACCATACCCACGAGTAATTTAAGTGACGCCATTCCACCAGCATCGTCCTCTTCACTATCAGCCTGCAAAACATACACAAAAATTGATAATCAAAACATACACAAAGTTATATGACTATATAACATATAACTTA